GTATATACCGTAGTGTTAAAGAGGAAATACGATGACAAAATAAACATAGAGGAATTTGAGGAAATTCTCTACAACCTCAGGGAAGTTTTAATAAAGGAAGAGGTCAAACAATTTCGAATATCTAAATATGGAGATTTAACAGAATCCATGGGTAATATTTGGGTAGAAAAATTAGTGAAAGTATTCTATGGAACCGGCATAGGAATAAAATTGTGTTTTGGAAAAATATCAATTCCTGAGGAAAGCGAAAGACCAAAAATAATTGAGGAAAATCATGACAGTCTGATAGCGGGGCATAAAGGGGTTAACAAGACCTATAGAAGAATTAGAGAAAAATACACTTGGCCCGGTTTACGACATGATATAATTGAGCATATAAGAAAATGTAGGAGTTGCGCGCAACGTAAAATAGTAAGAACAAAAAATAGAGAACCAATTATAATAATAACAGATACACCTTTAGATGTTTTTGACAAAATATCCCTAGACACAGTAGGAAAATTACCTACGACGTCAGATGGCAACTGTCATGTGTTAACCATGCAGGACCAATTAAGCAAATATTGTATATTCGTAGCTGTACCAGACATCAGTGCAGTTACAATAGCTCATGCAATAGCTACCAGTTTATTCTCACTTTACGGAGCCCCTAAAACAATATTAACCGACAGAGGTAGAATGTTTACTAGCAAACTTCTAAGAAGATTAGCGAAAATATTCAAGGTAAATCAAGTGACTACCACAGCCTATAGGCCACAAACCAATGGAGCACTAGAAAGAAGCCATGCAGTCTTAGCAGAATTTATACGTCATTATGCGCATTCTAGTGACGATTGGGACAGATTACTCCCATATGCGAGTTTCGCTTACAACACCTCAGTACACGAGGCTACCAAATACACACCCTACGAATTAGTTTTTGGTAAGCTAGCTACAACTCCCACAGCCTTCCCAGACGAAGAAAAATTGGAAACTTATGAATCTTATATACAAGAATTAATAACACGACTAATAGAAATAAGAAAAATTGCAGCAAGTAATTTAAATAAAGCAAAAGAAATTTCCAAAAAAGATTATGATTATAAATCCAGACCTCTAAACATAGAGATAGGGGATGTAGTAGACGTACGGGAGGAAGTAATAGCTGGTAAATTCGAACCATATTATCATGGGCCGTATGAAGTAGTATCAATTACTGAAAATAATAACTTAATACTTTGTGACGCAGAAGGAAAAAGATTCAGAAAACATAAAGACCAAGTAAAGAAAGCATATTTATGACTAGAGAACCGAGCAGGATTCAGAGAAGATGAGGAAGGATATATACATGTCTATACTGACGGGGCATGTAAGGCCAATGGAAAAGAGAAAGCACAAGCTGGGATAGGAGTATGGTTCAATTTTAACCACCCCAAAAATGTTAGTAAAAGAGCTCAAATAAAACAGACTAATAATGGAGCGGAAATAGAAGCAATATTAAAAACCATAGAAATAATAAAGTCTTTAGGTTATAAGAAAATTAGAATACACACTGATTCTAGATTTACGATAGATGGTTACCATATTTGGTTACCAGTATGGGAAAAGAACGGTTGGAGAACTAATAGAAGACGTTCTGTAATAAATAAAGAAATATTTGAACAATTAAAGAATAAAACTGTAGGTTTACAAGTAGAATTAATTTTTGAACCGGGGCATAGTGGTGTAATAGGGAATGAAGAAGCGGATAAGCTAGCTAAACAAGCTATAGAATATTAAAAAAAAAATATCCTCCTCTATTTTGGGTTACAGAAAAAAGGAAAGATGAGGATCATGAAACTCTTGCTACTACTATTTTGGATATCTAAAACAGCAGAAGGAATAGAAGACAACCCTTATATAAGAATCACACATTTCAAAAAAAGTACTGGAATTTTCTTCGAACTGATGCCTAACATACAACGAATAGTAGGCACTTGGCGCACGGTAGTAATCTTGGACACTGAAAATTTTAACAGTCATCTACCCGAATTGGAACAAAAATTAAAAGGTTTAGAAATCCCTTGTAGGAAAATACTGCAGGAAAATTGTGAGGAAATCCTAAATTTTTACGGTATAAATAAAAAAATATCAATCATCAAAATGCAATGGGAACAACTAGAAGAAACAATACAAGAATTAAGAGATCAAAATGAACATTTAGAACAAACACCAATATCTAAATCAATAAAAAACGAAGTACACCATGGTTCGGAATAGTAGGAAAGATAGCAGGAACAGCCATAGGAGTATTAACATACGAAGACGGAGAAAAATATGAAAATTCATTATTGGAATTAGACGAAGCCCAAAGAAATATATCCAAATTAGTTGGAGAACAAACCCATCTAGTTAGAGCAGAACTAAACAACCTATACAAAGCGGCTGAACAACAACAAAAAATAGCAAATGATTGGCAAGAAAAACTACAAAAAATACAAACACGTATACAAAATTTCGATGATAAAATAGATAATATTAATTACACAGTTTGGATACAAGCTACTAAACGAAATTGGGAAGAACACCTTGATATCTACGAACACGCATTAGAGCAGACGTTGCAAGTTATGTACAGTGCCAAGGAAGGAAAACTTCACCCAAGAATGTTAACAAATAATCAATTGTTTAAAATAGCAAAAGAAGCTCAGGAACAGCTAGGAGAACTAGTCTTCCCAGTAAATTTAAACAGAGTAAATGTAGCTATCCTAGGCAAAATATCTGTAGTAAACTCTCGGATGAATAAGGACAAACTAATAATGACCTTGGATATACCATTATTAGAAAGAGAAAAATTTCTACTTTACAAAATGCATGAAGTACCCATATTACAAAAACCTACAATTCATGGAAATAGAGCATATATATCCCCACATGCTAAATATATAGCTACAAGTGCGGCAATAAGAAAATATTTTTATTTAGAAGAGGAAGAACTAAACACCTGTCATTTTATCGAAAATAAATACATATGTCACCCTAACCAAGTAATATATGATTCGGTTCTAGTTCCCAGTTGCGAATCAGAACTATTAAGAGAAACTAACAACGAAACTTTAAAAAGTTGTGACATTCGAATCACCGAAAATCAGCAACCTCACTGGAGCCCTATTACTACAACAGGAAGTTGGATTTATTCCTTAACTATGGAGGAAACAGCTTATTTATCTTGTTATAAACAACCAACTAAATCTCTAAAATTAACAGGAGTAGGACTATTACAAATAGCACCTGGATGTAAACTGACTACTGACACTATAGAACTACCAGCATTACAAATTAAGGAAAACTATCAAGAATATCTGTATGAACCGAAATTAGAACTTTGTTTAGAAGCCTTGGCACCCATACTACTACAGAACAAAAAAAACAAACTATATCTAAACAAGATAAAATTAGACCACCCTGGAAGAAAATGGAAGGAGATTTAAAACTAGAAAATTTAGAAATTGAGTTGAAACGACAAAGTGAACATCATTTAGGACAAAAAAAACAAAATTACTACACCCACTCAGTATTAGGAACAACCAGTATATTAGCAGTGATAACTATAGGATATATTATATATCACTATATAACTAAAAGCAAGAAAATGAAATCGTTAACAACCCCTAGCATATTACAATTTCGGAGAGACGATGATTCCATAATATACACGCTATTAAACAAAAAGAAACAAAACAAAGACAATAAAGAATTTGAGAGAGAAGAGAAACTGCAAACTACAGTACAGATAGAACAAACACCTAAACCAAAAAAAAGAGACTGCATACAAATATCACCTAACAGTATAGACGTTAACTAAAAAAAAATTTTTTCTATCAATAATAATAAAAACAAACAAAACTACACGACAAAATAACTAACTAAAAAGAAAAAAAAATCTTCTTTAAAGTTTCAAGTAAAAAAAAAATAACTCAGATCAACTAATCGATCATCATTGCAAGTTAAGGCTATAAAATGGCCAAAACTTCTGTATGGTTTAGAAATTGATATCCACCTCTTCTTCAAGAATTGTAACAAAGCCCCGTTTTCAAGGCTGAAGAAAATGCAGCAGAAAGACAGCCAGAATCCGCAATAAAATCCAAGCGATAAACCTCCTCAAAAGGATCCAAGCAACAGCACAAGCCATCTCACAAGTATCAACCATCAACTGAAATATATTGATAATCTTAAATAAAAAAATAAAAACACTACAGTAAACGAAAATAAAGTAAATAATCAATCTATATCTAACTTACCAACAGTTAGCAACAAACTCCGGGAATAAAATCATTGCCAAAATAAAAAAAAAAAAACATTTTTTTTGGGTAAAAAAAAATATATAGAAAAACAAAAAAAATATATATATATATATATAATACAAATAAACAAAAAATCTATTCTCTTTTAAAAAATTTCCTTTTAATTAATTTTTATTCAAAACATAATAATACTATACAAGTAATACTGTACAAGCCCTTTTTAAAAAAAAAAAAAAAAAAAATTTAAATAAATTACTATATATACATTTATTCAAAAAAAAAAAAAATATAAAAAAAAACTAATTTTTAAAAGTAATCTTAACTAAACTAAAAGACAATTTAAAAAAAAAAATTACATTTATAAAGCAGTCGTATTTCTATAACCTAGGGTGTAAAATTTAAAAAACTAATTCGGCAGCAGATACTCCAACCCCTAAAAAAAAAAAAGAGAGGTTTTTTGTATAGACCTTATTCGTCAAAATGTTTAAAAAAAAAAAAACAAACAAACAAAACAACAAAAAACTTACAGGCTCCAAACCTTCACATCCCAACCAATAGTACTTCATTCGTTCCACGCCATTTGAGTCCCTTATAACTCGCCTACAGAGACTCATAACCACTAAATCATCGGGACGAGGATCGGCTAAACAGAAACGAAACGGAAATTACTGACCTAATTAGAGCTCAATAAAAATTTACAAATAAAGAACATTAATATAAATAAAAAAAAAACTCACTGATAAGAACAGCCGGTGGAGTACCAAAAGGAGGAGCAAGCAAAAGGCGCGAATAAGTTGAAGCCGTTAAAGGATCCACTAAAAAAAAAAAAGCACAAAGAACAGATCAGAACTCATATTTTTTAATACCATAAAATTATAAATATATAGATATAAATTTATAAAAAAAAAACTAAAAAAAAATACCAGGGTAAACAGCCACACTGTTGAGTACAGGCGTAGGCGTAGCTCGATCCGAAGGATCTTAACGCGGAGAAGTAGTGGAATCTGCAGCCCGGGCGGCTAATACCTGATTTTGACCAGACATCTAAAAAAAAGAAAAATAATAAAAAAAAAACCGTTCAAATATCAAAAATCAAGTTTTGACAAATAATATTAAATTTTGCTTACTTTTGTTATTATTTATTGTTATTTAACAACATCATTTTATTTTTTGTTTTTGTCTAATACAAATTAATAAACAAATTAATTTTAAGACGATCACATTCTTCATGTTTTGTTATAATTTAAATAACCATGAAATTTCTTCTAAAAAATAATAATATCCATCGCAGGAATTCAACTATTTAAAAAAAAAAGAGTAAAAAAAAATATATTAATGTTTTTGCAGAGTAATACTGTTATTTTTAATCGTGTTTTTAAACAATAAAAATTTAAACTAATTTTTCCAGTTTTATTTTCTCATCAAATTTAAAGCTATCTGATTCTGAACTTAAATAAATCTGTAAATAATTTCAAAATTTATAATAGAATCTCTCATGAAAAGTTAAATTGTTTAACGAGTTTATTTAAATTTTCTTTGGCAAATAATTTTAATTTTTAATTATAATTTATAAAATTTAAAAAAAAAAATAATTGAATTAAACAAAAAAAATAAACAAGAAATACAGTTTTTTATGTAAAAACACAACTCATATTTTACTTTACAAATAATTAACAAAATTCAATTTCAAAACTTTATTTTCCTGACCCTTATACTAAACTTCATCAAAAAAAAAATATTTTATTAACCTGCTAACAAATTGTATCTAATTTACGAATTATATAATTCATGAAAGAATTTAATATAATTTAATTCTTGCAAAGAATTTTTTAAAAAACAAGTTTTATAAAGTTCAAGAGAAATCATTTTTTTTGAAGAATTTTAGAACATATAAAATAGTCAAATTATCGAAAAATAAATTTAAAGCTATAAAAATGTGAGACCAACTCTGCTCAAAGTCAAATTATCTTTTTGAATATTTTTTTTAATTAAATTCTTTAAATTCTTTAACCTTTAATTCTTCCAAAGAATTATATCATTAACTATAATAATAGCCGAAATCACTCATTCTGTCCAGTCTTTACACACCTGAAGTTAGTCATTCGCTATTTTTTCTTACTATTATTATAATATTCATTACTTCCTTCCTTTCCAAAAATAAGAACTCTGTAACAAACATTTTACAAAATTAACAACTATAAATCCTGTAAAATACTTTCCTTTTTAATATGAAAAACCTTATTACTTGACGAAACTTTGATTACACCCTTAACTCTAAAAAATATTCTGATTCACCCTAAAAATGATTAGATACTCCAAAAAAAAATATATTCCATTACATATTTTTACAAATTTCTTTAATTCTAAAAATTATTTGAAAAACAATAAATACCTACTGTATTAAATAAATTTTAATCATTATTAATTTCCCTCAGGAATAAATTATTTTTAATAATTTTAATAAAAAAAAAAATTTAATTACGATTTTACTTAACAATCTGTTTTAAGGTGACAAAACATCATGAACTAATAATCAGTCTACACTACCATTACATAAATAAAATGTTATTGATTTAGTAAAATATGATAATGAATACAATATTGACATTTTCTTATTATTCAAGCTAATAGAATTCAGAAAAACAAAACACTTAAAAAAAAAATTTTTTTATTTTTTTTAACATTTTTGTAGAAATTTCTTGTACCCAGTTCCCGTGTCACGGTCTAAACACCTTGTTAAACTGAATAATATACATAAAGAATCAAACCGAAAAATTACTCAACATTAACAAAAAAAAAACATTAATAAAATCTCCCAAGTAAACTAAAAAAAAATCAACTAAAAGTTTTTTTGTTTAAAGGGCGTGATAAGCATGAAAGTCGCACAGGGGATCACAGAATCGTCATGGTCTAATCATCACATATTTACAATAAAACGAATAATTTTTATTTTAAATCAGAACAAGTGCAGAAGTATAAAGTAAGTAAAAAAAAAAAGATACGTAAAAAAAGGGGATTTTGGAAATCGATAATAGCTTGTTTAAAAAAAAAAAAAAAAATTTTTTTTAGTTTTTCTTGTGCGCCATGGTATATAAATTGCCGCAGAAATTTCCATATACCTTCACAAATTTTTTTATTACTAATTTTGCAACAATTTACTATTCATTGTCGCACAACTTTCTACAAATTTACATAAATTTCCATAAAATACCGAAAATTTACATGAATTTCCTTTAATTACAGAAATAATAATTACTAAATGAGATTTACGCCATAATATTGTTTAAATTAACACAAAATTTTTTTTGACAGAACCTGCCTAAACAGTAAATTTGTTAATTACCATACCTGTTAACAACAAAAATTATAAACAATTTTTACGAACTACTATGGATTTTTCTTTCTGGAAACTCTATTTTTTAAAAAAAAATAATATTAATAAAAATAATCCAATAAAACAAAGAATTCCTACAAAATAAATATATATATTATCTGTTCAAAATTATAACTAGAAACTTTGAACAAATAAAAACAAATTGAATTTCTACAAAGAACTTTAATATTTATAAAAATATTTAAATCCATGTAAGAATCTGATGACATATCTAAATGAAAATAGTCAAACTTTTTTATGCGAATTTATCAAAATAAATGAATTCTTGTGAAGAAGATTTTTACAATTCCTAGAAATTTCCATGAAATAAATTCGTTTTTCCCATTATGAGTAAATATAAAAAAAAAAATTTTTTAATTTATCTTGAAAGAACAAAAAGTAATAAAAATTTTTTTTTCAAAATCCTATTCATAAAAAATTTTTTTTTAAAACTTTCCAAAATGTTTTTTTTCTTTCTTAAAAAAAAATTTTTATATTGGTTAATATAAATATAATATAACTCCTAGTAAAATTCAATTATTCGTCAAATGATATAATTAAAACACTTTAAAAATTCTTATCCTTCTTATTCTTATTATTTGCAGAGGCATATCCAAAATTTCTATTAATTTAATTTTATTTCTTTTATTTAATTCTTTGTCAACCATTTACACACTATGTTCGAATCATCAGTTTTTTCAATTAAAAAAAAACGATTAGTTTTTAACACAAAAAAAAATAATAAAACTCTTTCTAAATTGGTACAAAAATTCCTGGTTTGAAACAAGATTATGAACTTATTTCCATTTTCCCGGTCAACATATGCAATTATAAAAATAAATATATTCTTTTCTTTGTATATACTTTCGAATTAAATTAAATCAATTCCTTTATTAAAAATAAAAAAAAAAAATAATAATAAAATAAAACTTATTCAATAATAACAGCAAAAAGGAGAGCATTAGAATAATTTATCTAAGCTGGAGACCAGAGAGTCTCTAAACGACAGAAATAACAAAAACCTCACGTCAGCATATTTAAGAAACTGCAATACAACAAATTCCAAAAAAAAAACAGCCACAAAATGAAAAAAAATATTAAAAACTAATCAGTTAAATTACCTATTTAAATCATTATGGTCAAATCAATTATTAGAAAACATTATACTACAATTAACATAACACTATATTACTGATAATAAGTAAAATTATTCTGAAGATATATAAAAAAACGAAAATTAAAATTTCTTTGAGAACAATATACTGTCAAAATTATCACAAAGAAGATCACATTAAATAAAAAATATGTATTTTGTACTCACCACAAACTAATAACTGCTATGCAAAAAGACTAAACGCAAAACCACACCACCACGTAAACACAAGTTCTTTTATTATTATTTATCAAAAACTTATCAGTTTCTTCCTAATACAAAATAAAAAAAAAAACAAAAGTTTAACGAACAAATAATTTAAAAAACAAAACAAAACACAACACAAGTAGCACAAGAAATTAACCACTGACGCTCATAACCGCGATGATAACAAAGTAGAACTAAAAATGCATACGCGGGAACATTTGACAATGCATCTCACTAATCATCTCACCAGTAGATGCTGTCACCACACGGCAACTAAAATAAACACCACAGAAAATAATTTTTTATCGACCAAAAAATTTCAAATTCATAGCAGAAATTCAACTAAACAGCAGGATAAAATAAATAAGTTCTAGGAAAAAAACAAAAAAATCAGAGAAGTTAAAAAAAAATATATATATATAGAATAATCGTACAAAGGTCGGCATTAATTATTATTGCAACAATATCTTTATTTAAATGAATTAGAAGGGTTGCCAAACAGTCAGGAAAATCAAGGAAAGTCAGGAATTTTCATTAAAAATACTGGAAAATATTAAAATTTTAAAAAATTTATAAGAGAACTCTTAATTTTAGTATCCTTTTCGTTTGCTTCATAAACTAGGAAATCCCCAAAAATTCTAATACAGGGCCTCTAATGCTTTCTATTTCTGGCAATAGTTTTTTTTTAATAACTTAATTCTTAAAGAACGTTAATAAAATTATTACTTATAATTTATAAATTATTTAATGAATAATTTTATACAAATAATTTAAAAATGATTGAATTTTTAAAAAAAGATGCAATTTACAATCATCATAAATACATGAACTAGAAAAGTTTCAATTCGAAATTTTAGAATATATCATTTTTTTAATTAATTTAAAATTTTAAATAGAAATTTTACGAACAACCGATTACAGAACTGGAATTTAATTATTTTAAAAGAGTTTAAAGTTTATTTTGAATACAATTTTCACAAAAAATTAATTATATTCACAAATAACAAAACTTATCGCGTAGAATTCAAATTATTTTATATACAATCTTAAATATATACTGATAGAAAATTGAATTTATTCTTAAAATTACACTTTTTAAGTTCGCAAAAAAAAATAATTTTTTTAAATAAGTCTGATAACATTGTTCATAGAAATCCAATGTTAAGAAATATTCAACTATTGATTAAATTATTCTTCTTTCTTTTTAAATAACTGAATTCTAAAAATTTTTTCTAATAAAAATTGATTAAAATATGAATTTTACTTAAAATTTTGATTGAAAATTAGAGGCATTATAGCGTGAATTTTTAGAAATAATATTGAATTTCGAAAATAGTTTAAATTAAGATCTTACAAAAGTCGAATTTATATAGTTACAATATTCTTATGATATAAAATAATGACTTCAACACTCTGTCATCTTGAATTTTATTTTATTTATTTTATTATTACATTTATTTTATAATAAAATGTTTATGTATATTTTACCCAAAATTCAGATAATAATAATTAATAACAATAAATAATGGTTGTAAAAAAAAAATAATAATAATAATAAAATCAATTTTGGTCAAAAATACAACACAAAAAAAACATTGTGCAAAATTTAAAAAAAAAAAAAAAAAAAATTCAAATTCAAAGATTAAAGTATCTAGTTTTTTTTTGTACACACAATCAATAACATTTTCTTTAAACACACAAACACACATTTCACTCAGGAATCCAAATAGATTCCAAACCAAATCGCAAACGCTGAAACAAATAATAAGACACATCGACATTAAAAAAAAAACACATTTTTCTACACATTAATCCATACAACGTAAAAAAAAAACTTACCACTTCCCAACCAGAAAACCCAAGAACGAACTCATCCCAATCCTTACGGTACCTCTGAACGTACACCAACTCTAACAACTCACTCCTAGGACGAAAACCACGAACGAGTGGATAGCCAGGCAAATTTGAATACGGACTAAAAAAAAAAAAGAAAACAAACAACAAAACATACAATCAAAATACACATACAAAAACACATCTGATTTTGTAGATATTTATATATATAAAAAAAAAGAAAAAAATAACATTTTTTTAAACAATAACACAAAAACAATAGGACTCACCGACAAACGACATTGACACCTAACACACCAACGATCTCCTCTATCGGCTCTTCCTCTGACACAACACAAAGATGAGGGCTTTGAAAAACAGCAGGAACCCAAAAACACCTAGTTTCATATTTTTTCTCTGTCCAATTCCAACGATACTCTTGCACCCAATGTGGATCAGTAAATTCATGATTTTTTTTGGTTTCCATCAAACCATTCAAAGGCCAATGACCAGCCCCAACCGAACGCAAAGGAGCATCCTCCCACGAAGAAAATACAATTTTTCTCCTGCAATATTTTACAATCCCTTTAATTATACCATTTATTTAAATATAAATTATACAAATAAATTATAAATTAAAAAGAAAAACTAATTAAATTTTTCTCTCATTTTCTTACAAAAAACTAGAAATTAAAAAGGAAAATAATATTAACTCACCCCAGAGCACCACTGTCAATTTTAGACTGTTGGTCCATCAAATACCGACCCAACAAATAATTCAAACAAGATGAAGGATTGCACACATCTTTTTCAACCAATTCCAAAGCAGTCTTAAAAGTAGAAAAATCAAAAGAACTCATTTTTTTAAAAAAAAAAAAAGTTCGTGCCACAAAAACAACTGGAGATAACAACACTTCAACAGACGCACGAAAACTGACAACCAAAAGTAAATCTTCTTACTAGACCTATTTTGCAAGCCAGCAAATGCAACCGTGAGAACAAAGATCCAACCGGACAAAGACGATTCCATGACAAAATAATCTCTTTTATTTTCAGATTAACAGAATATAAAATCATTCGAAAACATTTTTTTTCAATTTTCTTTTTCTCTAATTTTTTTTTTCTCATACAAAAACACTGTCAAGGGACGACAGTAGACAAAAAAGGGGGGTATGGGAACAGAAAAGCAGAAATTTTCATTTTTTTATGCACCATATAGGCATAAATTTTATAAATTTCTGTTTGTCATTTTATAACGATTCTGTTCAAAACTTCTTTTAAAGAAACAATGTCAGACAAAAAAAAAAATAAACATTATTTCTTTAAAATTTTACAATATTCAAAAGAAACACTAATCATCGAACTATGCTTAAGTTTTCGTTTTTTTTTTGTTTTAATTAACTTATTCAGAATTACACGAATGCAACTCTAATAAATTCAGCACATTTTTTTTGTTAAAATTTAATATCCATCATTGTCATTAAACCAAATAAAAAATCAGCGACATATAGGTTACCTTACAAAAGTCATTTCATGTAGATGTATTAAATTTCAAATTATTTTTTTTTTAAAATAAAGTAATTTTTTTTTAAAACAAATAGAAAGCATGAAATAACTTTTAACTTGGTTTTCGTCTAAAAATATAAAAAGAATAAATCAAAAAAACAAATAAAACTTTGTAATAAACGCAACAAAAAAAAAGGAAGCAAAGAAATAATCTGAGAAAATGAACATTTCTCTATAAACAACAAAAACAAATTAAATATAAAAAAAAATTGTACTGAAATTCAAACAAATTGTTACAGTAAATTCAAATTTTTACATTATGAAAATATTTCATTGCAAAAAAAAAAACTATTCTATGTACTCTACTTCTGAAATTCGAATTAATTTGAGCATAAATAATAATTTATAATCATTTTTTTTAACAATTTAAAAAAAAATTTTTTTAGACATCACCAATTAAATTATTAAAAATTTTTGTAGAAAGAAGCATCATTGTACATCGAAACAAGGCCAATAATATCTAGCCTGGTAAAAAGAAAAATGCAATAATATATCAATAATTAAAGAAAATTTTAGGTTTCCAGTAACAAATTTAAAAAAAAAAAAAAACAAGTTTAGAAATCATGTATTTAAACGCATTTTTTTATACCATGATCGATTTTAATAATTTAAAATACAAAATTACTTGTCACTAAACAACGATAAAATTTCAGACTGTAATAATTGTTAATAAAACAGAAACAAACTTTATTTATTCAAAATCTTCCTAAAACAAAAAAAAGAGGAAACGATTTTTTAAATAAAATTACAACTAAAAGTTTGATTCTGTTCAAAAAAAAAAAAGAAAAAAAAATTGTATTATTTTCAGTAAATTCAACAACCTAAATATTGTAAAACCATCGAATCAACAATTATATGTGAACTCCACAAAAAATTATATGTTCAACATAAGCTGCCAAGGGACGTCAGCCTAAAAAAGGGGGGTATTTGTTACGATCGAATTCGTAACGAATTTTTTTATTTATATTTTAAAATTATTCTTAAAATATTTATATTATATAGAATCTAAAAAATTTTGGGAATTATGTAATTAAGATTAAGTACACGTAAACACAATTATACTAATAGTATCAAAAAAAAAAAAGATTTAAGTGGTTAAAATTCATCAAACAATTTTATAAAAATTGTCAAAAAAAAAAAACCTCAATGATTTTTTGGCACCTGAATTTTTTTTAAATAAAAGAAAATTATATTTAAAAGATTAACATTACAAATTAAAATAGACAACGGAAATACTACTGTTGAAATTGGTTGAACTTTAAAAAGTCAACTGTGAAAAGATTTTAGAATGTATTGGTAAAAATACCAATAAAAAGAATGCACACCTGCAATGTCAATATAGAGTACAGATCATTGAACTATATCAGACCACCTTAAAGGAATTTGCAAACTTGCAAAAAGCTTGCATGGTAACAGCGGTATTTGGTGGGCCGTGTGCAACAAAATCCCCCACCTTACCGATTTTAAACCGATTCCAGGGTGTGACTGTTGGTTCAATTGGAATTATCGAGGAGTTTTAATGAGTATTTCCCGCAGTGCGGATGTTTATAACATTGTATTTGATTTTCCCGCATTAAGGCGGAGGTTTTAGCATTTTATCCCCGAAGTAAGGGTTGAGTTTGTCAATTTTGAATTAATTGAATTTACAAAGTAAATTATAAAAAAAATATTATAATTATAAAAGAAATAAATTTTTATTGAAATTAAATACATATACAAAAGTGATTAAATAATAGTTTGAAACAAAAAGAAAATAAAACAGTGAAAAATAAGAAGACAAAATAGTGAAACAATCAAATAAAAATAATAACTAATTGCAATTTTTGTCGAATAAAGTGTCTTAAAAAGAAAGTTCATTAGAGTGAATAAAATTTAAA